TCTCATCTTCAGCCGTGGCATTAACTCTAGCTTGCGCCTGGGCTGCATCATACCAGAGAGCCTTCCATTCCATGTATTGTCCCATGTTGGGAAGCACTGCTTTCACTGTCGTCTGCCAGTCAGTGGGAGTCATGGCAAAATTAGCAAGCCTTTCCACCTGTATTGTGGTAAAGTTAGCATTGACCCCATAATTACGAACGGATTCGGCCAATTCTTTGATTTGATTGTAATCTACGGGGGTATGTACTCTTCCGCCTTCCGCATTCTCGAATACTGGAAAAGCCATTTGTATTTTTCTCCGTTCCTCTAAAGGTAAAAAGGAGTCAGTACCAGTATTCAGCCGAAGCTCATACTGCGGAGGCGCCGAGGGGCGTGAGCCCGCCGGATTTATAGGCGGTGGCCTCACATTCATTTTTGTTTTCAGCGGCCGGTGTCTATCAGGGTGATATCTTTCTTCCTCATACCGTGCCACCTCCTCCTCTAGACCACCTTCTTCGCTAGAATCCAGAGTGTCAGAATCGGAATTATCTAGCTCCAAGGCTTCTAGCTCTACCGTAGGGTATAGGCTAGATTCTGGCTTTTTCTTTTTCTTAGATTTGTTAGGGGGTGAATGATCACTCCCTTCTTTCTCTCCCTTTCTTAACTTCTTGGGGAGGGCCTTTTTTCTTAGACATGTCTTTCCTTTTGTGAGCTCCCATTCTCTCACTCCGTTCAGTTTCTGACATGCTATCCTGAACTTCCTCTAAGGTTCCCTGACTTTCTACTATAGCAGGGTGACAGGCCTCATCCTCCAAGCAGTTTTTAACTAGCTTCCAAATGGCTTTGGTACCTAAGCAGAGATCTCCTTCTGCATGCTTCCTGTCTAGGTCTTTACCTAGCTTGTTCCATGAGGCCACAGTGAGGGACCCGGAACAAGCATACCATGGTGCCACTCTATCTACCTCCTTCACAAAATTTTGAAGTGTTCGTGGTGCAATTTTGAGATCTCTTTGTTTTAGCACAGTCTGTAGGGCAGTAACCACTGACTGTGACAACCCCATCGCGCTAGCGGCTTATCTAAAAACGGCACTCGACTCCTTTACCAGACTGACAGCACCGTTCTGTCAGCACCAGCCACGATGAAGAAGAAGGACAAACAGGACTAGCACCAAAGCCTCCACTGACCCGTCCCACGGTGATGACAAACTAAGGCCAAAGTCGAGAAAAGGGGTGTTCAGGATCAAGCATACCTCTCTGAACTTACGTCCCTGCAGTTCTGAATCCGCCCCGTCTTCCGAGGGGTCTCCCGCGGCGCCGGCGATGTTGAAGAGTTCCCGGGTTTCGGCACCAGATGTCCCGCGCTACCGTCTCGCCAGCAAGAACGACGCAGGACACTCGGATCCTTCTGCAGTAAAGCTTTAATGCATCTTGAGAGATAGATGATCAGCTTCTGAGAGGGAGACCCCAAGCTAAGAAACCCAGCCCCTTATATAAGCCTAGGAGCTCCGAGTGAGACGTGTAGAGCCGGGATTGGTGGTTTGCTCATCACCCCAGATGACGGGTGAGGCACAGCTTAAGCGGTAAACTCCAACTGACAGCAGATGTCAGCGCCATCTTCTAATGGCGATAGCGATAAGCGCTGTGTCCAGAGTGCTCTGAGATCTTTGTCTAGAACAGTGCTTTGCAAGCCACCAAATAAGAAGATGCATGTATAAAATCTACTGGGCAGATGGTGACTATGTAGGATTCCCTTGATCACACAAGGCAGGTCTGAGCTACTCTTTATTCATGTGAATGTCTACATCTCCCTATGTAAAATAGGGAAAGGACATTGGCACTTTTGGTCACAAACAGAAAGACTATTGTGCCCTTCATTAAAGAGGTAATATGGAATAAGGGAAAATATTGATGCACCCCGGTCATAAGTGAAATTTCTCAGGAAGTTATGAGACCACCTTGAGAAAAGGAGAACCCCTTGACATCTTCACAGGGAGGAGGCCCCCAGCCATGTTGGGTAGAATAGGAATGTGCCATTCACCCTTGGTCAGAAGAATAAGTTCCTAGGCTGTCTTGGTGAATGGGAAAAGCTTCTGGCTCAGCCTCAATAGCTTCCAAAAAGATTTTTCCCAACACAAAAATACATACCCTGTGTGAAATCTTTGAGATTCTACTGCAAATCTCTTAACAGTCTTCCCACAGGATAAGTGGTTATGCAACCAATGGTGTTTATTGAAAGTTGTCTTTACCTGTACATATGTGTGGATAAAAGATAGGAATAATGCATTACTGATAACCAAACTTTGAGGAAGATGTGATTTCATCTTTCTATCTTCTGCTGTGAGATATTAAATCAGGAAGTAGTGAGGTCCCTTTGGACACATTTGTGTTTGTATTGCTGTTAGAGGAGTCAACTCTAAAACAACCTTTGTTAACAGGGGAATGTGTGAGGTCACAGAGGAAAGAAGGGAAGCTCTCGTGGTTATGTAGTCATAATAGTGGACCTAAAATATCAAAGAGCAAAGGGTGGAGGTCTTAGACATCCCTTGGATAAAAAGGGCCACTTTTGAGAATACTTTCAATATTTAATCCCCAGATCCCCTTTTGTAGAAGTTTGATATCTGAATTTGTCTTACTGGATGGAGGTAGATTATTGGCCCACACACTCGGAATATTGGGAATGTCTGACACTTGTTTGTGCAGAGTGGTATAACACCAATTGGTCTGACACCACTTTAATGAGAAAAGACTCAGAGCCACCTGGTAGAAATGGGAATATATAAGGACCATGTAACACAAAATAAATGTTTTAGGTAAATTTGGGCAACTGTACTTTAGAACAACCCTAGTCTTGGGGGAGTTTTGACATCCTGTTCCATGAACTGAGAAATAGTAAAGTAACAAAAAAACAATAACAGCTATGTAAACAGAAGCTCTGGGCCTTATGTAAGAGAGAAAACCTCTGAGGCCACATTGAAAATAAAGGAATGATTTCCTTTGGGCAGAGGGTGAAAGTGCCATACAACTTTAGTTGATGGTGAATAAAATTTCTTGGTACCTTGATGGGGGGACGTCCTTCTGTGTATACATTTATCTTATTGGTTGATTAATAAAGCTCTGTTGGCCAAGAAGGAAGCAAGACAGGTGGGACTATGAGTGGAAGAGGATTCTGGGAAAAGTAGTCAAGAGTGAGGTGTTACCATGTGAACTCAGGCGGAGAGGACACATGAGCCTGTTGTTCTTGGTAAAATAAAAACTCATAGAAATAAATATTAGAAGTCATGTGTTAATACTTAAGACAGAACTAGCCAATTAGAAGCTCAGGACATTGGCTGAGAGCATTGTAACAAAAGAGTCTCTGTGTGTTATTTTGGGGGCTAAAGTGGTGACAGGACACAGGCCCAAACCTTGTCTCAGAGAATGGCACCAAACCTTGTCTCAGAGAAAAAAAAAGTAAAAGAAACAGAGTAATAAAAAAGCCATGTAAAGAGGGAAAATACACAGAGAGTCTGGATACTGTATGGTATTGTGTTGTCTTTAAATTGTTTAATTGCTGTGGAAGGAACAACAACTGCTAAAAGCCATTTGAATATCAATGCTGCTGAATTAATTTAACTTATATATTTTGAAAATGCTTTGACTTCTAAATTTAAATACAAGTACAGGTTACTTGGGAAAAGAATTTCTGCTTTTGTTTCCACAGAAAATAAAAAGCTATGGGTTCCTTCCGGCTAATATGGTTTGATGAAGCAAGACCCACTGAAGCAGTGGCCCCGGTGATCCAATATTCAGAACAACTGGAACAAGGCAGCATTACAGACTACTATAGCCAGGAGTTTTTTCTAAGGATTCCCATGATATTTCAGTTCCCCATAACACCAGGAAGTAGTTTGAGAGAATGACACCCACATTCCCAAATATTATTTATAAATGTTTGTTTTCATTTATAGAGGGTTGGTTTTAAATGGTAATTATTACAGTCAATCTCTTTCTAAAGGGAAAAAAGGGAATATGATGTAGAAATGAATATTTTGTATTGGCATGGATTTTCATTTAGTGATACATATTTAAGGTCAATTTTGTGATATTTCTCCTCTTGTTTATGTATTGTATTTATACTGATATTTTAAAATGTAACACACAATTAAATACAGATAATGTATAGTCACCTATAATAGTGAGAACTTATAGTTAGTTTAGTTAGGCTTTCTAGGTGTACAGATATGTATTTGAGATGGATAGATATTCTTCAAACCTTTCAAAGACCTATAGACTATATGGCATTTAAATGGTTTAGGGTTTTTCATAGTGAGACACAGCTACTACTGGCACACCAATTACGTTTGAGAGGAAGATGGGTATCAAAGAAACTCATTATGGAGTTTGCTTTCAACATGGAAAGATTAGCCAGGTAGTCAATAAACTGCTCTTGGCTTTACTGATTGATAGACTGGGCATGCAGAACCCATAGGAAAGTGACTGCTGGACTTGATGGAACAGTCCTAAAGGGTTTCTGCTTCACAGAATAGTCTACAGGACACAAAAGATGATTGACAAACTGCCAATGTAGGCAGACAGTTTAAAATTTCCTGCTTTGCTGAGAAGTCTACCAGACACACTGTGGCCTATGGGCTGAAGATGGGTGCCCCAAAGTTACAGAGGAACTTCAGGTGACTGTCCAGGTAGCGAGATGTCTCTGTCAATTTTAGTGTTTATATATTATCCTTCTGTGGTCTTTGATGGAGTTGTAGACAGATAGTTACAGTTTTCCTTAGTTATGATAAAAGATAAGCTACATATAAGACTTTAGACTCACAAAGATAGGATAGATGATAAAATACTTTCTTTAAATCTTATTAAATGTTAACAGACTCAATATTGTAACTATAGTTCTTACTTGAAAACTTGTCTGTTATATGTAATTTGACTATGTTAAAGTTAAAATGTTTCTTTTTATTTAGACAGAAAAGAGGAGATGATGGGGGAAGTCCTTCTGTGAATATGTTTGTCTTATTGGTTAATAAATAGAGCACTGTTGGTCAATAGGGAAGCAAGAAGGTGGGAGTGGGAGTTGTGGAGGATTATGGTAAATGTAGTCAAGAGTGGGGAGTCAACATGTGATCCCAGGAAGAGAGGACACACTAGTCTGGAGTTCTCAATAAGATAAGACCTTATAGAAATAGAAATTAGTAGTCATGGGTTAATACTTAAGACAGAAATAGCCAATGAGAAGCCCTGGAAATTGGCTGACAGAATTATAGCAAATAGAGTCTCCATGTGTTATTTTGGGGGCTAAATTGGTGACAGAACCCAGGCAAGAATTCTGTAACAGTACCTTATACTGTAGAGAAAGTTCTCAGCATGGATCAGGAGCTTCAAACTCTTATTCAGAGATTTGTATCTTCACAGTTTGTGTTCATTCTGGGAGACACCAGGCAGAAACAACCTATATCTTCTTCTGAAGACCTGGATGACTCTCTCTCTCTCTAGGTTCCTCCCTCTACTTTGTGTTCAGCTGTACAGATCTAGACAGAGATGTAGAAGTCATTCCATTTTATTGACTATCCTGAAGGCTGATGGCATGGATTCTCTGCTCTCATTGCTAAACTTGTGCTATGAGATCTCAAACCACAAGGGAATGATGCCCCTTCTTTATAGATAGAGTCTCTCATGGCCTATGCCTGATCAGTTTGATGGGACAACCATTTGACCATATGTGGAAGGTGTCAGGTCCCATTTGTGAAAGGGAGAAAGTGATGGAGGGGTAGAAAGATTTGAACAGTCCCAGCATCCTGTAGGAAGAAGATAATGCTCTCAGTGTACCTCGAGAACTGAAAGAAGGTGCAAGCAATACCTTATCAGGTCCAAAGGTCCTCACACTCTAGAATACCCATATGTTCTGGAACTCCAATGAGAGCACTGTTTCTTACAGGTTGGTTGGTAATCGCTGGCTCTGCCATGAGATTTTCATCAAGCACACAGGCATGGGCAGCAAAGATGGAACCGCTCCATTTCTGGGAGAATCTTAAAAGTAGAAGGTGTTTAGTCATGAATCAGATTTTACTGTCACATCCCAGGATATTGGTTCAGAGTGATTGACATCCCTTGATCATTTGGGCATGAGTGGACACCCAGATCAAAGGGAAAATACTAAGACCATCGCTGATAGAGGAACAGAGCTGAGGTTTACACAGATAGAAGTGATTTCTCTGAGGAAACCATTGTCAGGGTTGTTGATTTGAAGTGTATGTGAGAAAATGATGATCATTTGCGTGAGTTTTCATGGCACTGGCCTGGTCTGTATCTCTTTACTCAAATGAGTATGTATCAGTCCCCTTGAAATGAAATGGTGTGTCTAATTCCCCATGTTCAAGGAAAGTAGAATGTAGCAACCTTCTTTGAAAGAGTACTTTGTCACAGGTTCCTTTTTGCACAGGTATCAGAACTAAAGTTTTCCTTGAATTGAAGAAGAAGTCTGGGACCCATTTATTAAAAGGATGCCTCACGCTCACACCATATTAGGAAGTGTGTGCCTCTTTCACATAAAATGAATGTGTAAGATTACTACAGATAAACTGGAAAGATATGTGGCACTCTTTTGTTTCAGGAGGGAGAGCAGATGTCTCCTTAATCAAACGGAGCAGGAGGGATTACTCTTGGGAAGAGAAGAGTTTCTGAGGCTCATATGACAGGGGAGATGTGATCAGAGTGTGCAAATCCTATACAACTCTTAGCAAAAGTTCCATTGACTACCATACCTCATAAGGTCCTAGCACTGCCTCACAGTTTCAGATGTCCATGTCTTTAGCTGAATCTGCAAGAGAACAAGCAGCAATACCAGGATTCATTAAGAGCTTGGGTAGAAGCCGCAGTGTGGATAATGCCTAAGAATTGTGTTCGGCAAACCAGAACTGCGTGGGACTGATGATTCCATACCACAACAGATAATTTTGCACGGGTTCCAGGATTTCCTGGCTCTTCTTGACTTCTGTGGACTCTATCAAGAGTGACCAATGCCCCTTTCTCAGAGGGGAAAGTCCATAGGGTCTTTAGGTTCAAAGGGGCGATTTTAAGGCACAATTTGTCAGAGCAAAAAAAAACAGGAAGATTTGGGATAACAGACAGATACCAGACCCTGTTGGGCAGAGGGGAAAGCCCCTGCTTACCTTCTGTAGAGGAGGAAGCTCCAGATGATCCCTAGTCAGTCTCCAAGTCTTCAGAGAACTCTAGAAAATTCTTATCTCTGAGAAATGTTTTGAGGCATGACAGAAATCAGAGGGTTCTTTTCACAAGTGGGGCCACAGTCCTGGGTGTATTAGATACTTAAACTTATGATAAGCTGCCCAGGTGTGAACATGGAGGACTTGCACATTTCTGGTGAGCAGCTTAAAATAGATGACCTTGGATCCAGGGTGAGGTTTCTATTATGCCATATCTTTTAAATCTAGAGTTCCATGAGAGCATATTTCCTAGTCACTCTGGTCTGATGGAGAAGCTCTGGTGTCTCTTAGGTGTTTGGTAGACCTGATTCGGCCATTAACACAAAGAGAAGCTCCTATGTTTTCTTGGTAATAGGGATTCAGTCTCAAGTAGTAGGATGTAAATATTAGGGACACATGCTTGAGTCACAGCAATTTCTGTAGCTTGCTTCATCAAATGGGCATGTCTCAGCTCCCTCCAGTACAGACAGAGAAAGACTAAAGTTTTCTTGTTCAAAAAGATATGTTTCTGCAGCCACCCTTTGACACACCTTGAAAGTCAGGGGCTACTATGGTTGGAAGAAATAAATCTAAGACCCTCTTCAGAAGATGTTCCAAAAGGTGTAAACCCCTGAATTAGTGAGGTAGTTTACTTCTGAGGGGGCATATCTAAAACCCGATGGAGTTATTAACTGGAGGTGTGAATTGTCGTTGTTCTGGAAGGACAAGTCTGACGACACTGGACTTTGCAGACATTGTTTGGCTCAAGGATTATAAATGGGTTGTATTTGTGGACTTCTTGGGTTATTGGGGAGGTCTGAGGCTGCTTGCTTCTCAAATTGCATGTCTCAGGCCCCTTCCATCATTGACAGCATGTGTGATACCCTTGTTGTAGAGTGGCAAGTATGAGGTCATTTGGCAGTGAGTAGATGTCTGAGGTTTCTTGGTAATCAAAGGAAAGTTGTGTCAATGTCCTCTTGAAAAATGGGGCATGGCTGAAGCTTTTTGTTGTTGAAGGGATAGATCTGAAATCCCCTTCAGTTACTGCCGAAATTTGTATGTTACATTGGTTTTAGACAGATTGAGGCCACATGGGCTGTTGGGGTAGATTTGAGGGCCCACGGTTCTGAAGGACAGATCACAAGACTCCTTGGTCCATACAGCAGTTTGGAAGACCTGTGCTTCTGAAGTGGTAGGTGTGAAGACTGCTTGAGAATTAGTGGAGTTCATTCTGCTTCCTGCTTCAGAAGAGATGTGTCTGAGCATGCCTTGAGCCCTTGAGAACAATTTGAGCTCCACTTCAGTCATTGAGGAAAGTGTGAGTCATCTTTGTTCTGAAGGAATAAGTCTGAGGCCTCTTCGTCAGAAACATGATGTGGGGAACCCTTGGATAGAGAGAGAATGTTTGAGGCATCCACAGACAGGGAAGTTTGACGACACCATTCTTTGGAGGCAGAAAGTCTCATGCTATGTTGGGGAAAGCAGAAGGAGCAAAGAGCCTCCTGGGGAGCCAGGGAACATCAGAACTCAATTTAGAGAAGGCCTGATCATTTCCTTATACAATCTTCATCGGAATCTAGAACATATATGACATGCAGGGCAGGCAGCAGATGATCAATATCCAACATGCCAGGAGGTAGTTCCCAGCTAGGGCTCCTGATCCATCCAGCTGCCTTCTGCTAAACATGAAGGATGTGACTTCTTTATTTCTGCTGACTGTTTTAAAGGTGTTGCTAGATACTCTTAAACTCTAGGATTTCAGGCATCAGTGTTCTTTAATTTTTGGACAGTGATCATTAATTCAGATTATTAGAATAAAAAACACGCAGGCTGCTTAGGCAGAGGGAGTTGTTGTGTCACCTACTAGGTCAGATGAAACCAGTCTAAGGTCATATTAGTCAGAAGGAGGACATGCTATTCTCATTGGGTAGCAAATTGTATAGCATGCTCTTCTTAATCAGAAGGGAAACACCTGCCTTGCTTATAGTCAGACAGTTCTATGTAATGCATCAATGTGCACCTGAGATAGCCAGGAATGGAAGTCAAAGATTTCACAGATGTTTGATGAGAAGGAAAAGTTCTAAACTGCCATTGTTCATGGGGGACTCAGAGTGGGAAAATGTGGGGCCAGATTGCAGACAAGAAAAGCTAAAGATGCCATTTTAAGAGAGAGTCTGGCCAAGAGTCTCCTGTTGATATGAGTATCTTTAGAACTTCAAGGCTTGTAAGGTCTGAAGCCTCCATTGTCAGAATGGGCATGTCGGGGGCTTCTTAGGGTAGAAATTGAAGTTCTGGCCCAGTCATGATTAGTGGGCACATTTCTGAATTCCCTTTGTTCACAAGTAGCACATCTGAGATTCAGTGTGTTGGATGCGCTTTGTATGATGCTCTCATTTTTTAAATTAAGCATTCTAAGTTTGTCTTGAACAGGATAGTTATAGGAAAGTTTGATGGACTTTTGGTCACACTGAGAAGTTGTGATACTTCCTTGATGAGACAGGGTAGAACTCCAGCACCTGTTTTGCCGTGCAATCCTTTTGAGATTGAATTTGACTGAATGTGAATATCTGTGGCCTCCTAGGATAGAAGGGTCACATATGGGGGCCCCATATTCATATTGGAAGCCTGCGTCTCTCCCTTGGTAAGAGAGGGAAGATCTCAGGTCTTCTATTTGAACTAGGGTATGTCTGAAGTTTCCTTGGATAACAGGGAATGAAGTGGTACTCCCTTTTGGAACTGGTGCATATATGAGGCTCTGTTGGAAAGGAAGCAAACGCCTGCGTCCTTCTCTGGCACTAGTAGAAGGTTTCTGTTTCTTTTGCACAGAAATATCATGTCTGAAGCCATCTTTGGCAGAAACAGGGTGTCTGACATCATTGCTTTGGGATGATGAGGAAGGTTTGACACTCCCATTGGAACTGTCTCTATCTGGAAATAAACTGAAGCTTTCTTGGGATTCAGGGGAAATTTGGGTGGCTTTTTGAGTAAATTTGGGTGGCATGTCTGAGTCTTGTCCTGGTGGAAGTAGAATCAATATGGCTTGAAGTCCCATAGGGAGTGGTGGAATGTCTGAAGTTCTCTCTATGAGAGAGAGTAGTTCCCATGTCCCCTTTTGTGCAGATTGGAGATTCTTTGCCTTCTTCGGGGTTATCTCTTGGTTTGTGATCCCTTTTGGCAGATGAATGTCTGTGCTCTTTTTTTGATGAAGAGGAATTTTTGCAGCCCTTGTGATGTAAATTGGAAGTGTGAACATCTCCTTGGTTAGAGGGGGACTGATGCAATTTTGCTTTGGTAGATTTGGAATGTCTAGAGATACCTTGAGGAGATGGAGAACTTCTGAGTCCCTTCTCATGAGATCGTGAGGATCTATGGTGTTCCTTAGAGATAGAAGGTTCTATCTTCTCTTCAGTAGTATCCTTTGGTTTCTGGTCCCTTTTGGTAGATGAATGTCTGTGTCCTCTTTTTGGTGAAGATGAATGTTTGCAGCCCTCATGCTCTGAATGGGAAATATGAACATCTGCTTTGTTAGAGGGGGCCTGCTCCAATTTGCTTTTGGTAGATTTGGAACATCTAGTGACCCCTGTGGGAGATGGAGAACTTCTGAGTCCCTTCTCATGAGATTGTGAGGATCTGTGGTGTCCCTCTTTAGAAGAATGGTGAAATTTCAAGCCGTCTTCTTCTGATGGGACAGACTTGAGGCCTGCTTCTATAGAATCATGTCTTGATTTTGTTTTCATTGATTTAGAATGTCTAGACACACCCCATGGAAAAGGTGAATATCTGAGATCTTCTGTAGGAGGGGAACTATATCTGCAGCTCAAGTCTGATAATGTTGGGAGAGGAACACTCCTTTGAAGAGCAGAGGTAGGACTTGAGTTCTTTTTGACATACCTGGAAGATGCAAGTCTTTGTTTGGCAGAACAGATACCTCTTAAGGCATCAAGTTCTGAAATGGAATATCTGATATCCTCTTCAGTAAATGGGGCACATATCAATACACTTTTAGTAGAACTGGAAAGTCTGGGCCTTCTTTTGGGGTAAGGGGAATGCCTTTTATAGACTTCATGTGAAGGAAGAGGCATAAAGTCACCTGCAAACTCTGCTGAAAAGGAAGGTCCAACATTTTCTTGGCTAGATCTCACAGGTTCTAGAGGCTGTTGGGCTGTTTTGAAGTGTTCCAGAGTATCATGGAGAGATGTTGATTGTCCCAGATTCTCTTGGTCACTTACCAAAGGGCCTAGAGCACCTTGGTCAGATTCCAAAATTTCCAGAGCCCCTGGCACAGATGCAAAAGTTTCTAGAGTCCCTGACACAGACTCTGAAGATTTAAAAATCTCTTTGTTAATTGGCAAGGGTTGTGCTATCTCTGGAGTAAGTGAACAAGGTTGTAGAGGCTGCTCTGAAGGATGTGGAAATCCTAGATCATCTTGGGAAGTTGGTGATGTTTCTATAATCCCATGGGTAGAAGATGGTGTTTCTAGAGGACTTTCTGTACAAGGTGATATTCCTAGTGTACCCTGTGCAGATTCACCATGTCCAAGATCATCTGGATCAGATGACAACTGTCTTAATGGCCCCTTGTCCAAACAATGGCCTGGATCCCCTTGAGATGACAAGAAAGCATCTGGAGACCATTGAGCATATGGTGAATGTTCAAGAGGTTCTTGTGATAATATAGACAGCCCCAGAACTTCTTGTGAATGCAATGAGTTTCCTACACAGACTTGCTGAGATTGAGACTCTCCTCGTACACTTGAAGATATTTTCTGACAACCTGGTTCTGATGGGGAGGATACCACAGTTCCAGTTGCAGAAGGTGTAGGTCTAAGAGATGCTTTGTAAGATGAAGAAGGTTCCAGAGTTTCCTCAGGAGATATTGATGACCCTAAAATTTCTTTTTCAGACAGATTAAGTCCCATAGAACTTTGGGCAGATAGTGAAAGACCCAGAGACCCTGGGGTAGATGGCAAAGTTTCCAAAATTCTCAGAGAAGATTGTGGTAAATTACATACCTCTTTGGTAGATGGCAATGTTTCTGAAGTCTCTGTCATAAGGAGAGAAGGTTTCATAGTCTGCCCTGAAGGAGGCAGATGTCCTAAAGAATTATGAACAGATGATGAAGTTTCTATAATACCAAGGTTAGAAGATGGTATTTCAAGAGTACTCTGGGTAGATGGTGATGTTCCTAGTGTCTCCTGGGTAGATTCAGTAAGTCCAAGATCTCTTGGATCAGATGATGACTTTTCTAAAGGACCTAGGTGCAAATAAGTGATTGGAGCCTTTTGGAATGACAAGGAAGTATTGTGAGATCCTTGAGCAGATGGTGAATTTCCAAGAGGTTCTTGTGATGAGATAGATAACCCCAAAGTCCCTTGGTTAGACAATGTATTTCTTAAATAGATGTGCTGGTGTGGTGAATCTTGTAGAGTCACTTTTTCACCTGAAGACATTTCCTGTAAACCTTGGTCTTTTAGTGAAGGTCTTACAGGCCCCATTTGAAATGGGTCAGATTTCACAGACACTTGGTCAGATGGAGAATGTTCCAGAGATTCCTGAGAAAATGTAGGTGTTCCCACTATCACTTGGTCAGATATGAAATGGCCCACCACCCCTTGGGCAAATGTTGAAAGTTTTAGTCTCTGTAGGAGAGACACCAAAATGTCTAGATACCTTGAGATAGATTTTAAAGTCCCACAAACCTCTTGGGAAGATGGCAAAGGTCCTGGTGTCACTTGTGTAAATTTGGAAGGACCCAGATTTCCCTTCCAAGGATACTGAATTCCTAGAACACTTTGAGCAGATGTTGCAGATTCTATAGACTCGTGGGCAGATGAGGGTGTTTCTGTAACACCCTGGGGAGATGGTGAAGTTCCTAGAGTACTTTTTGAAAACTGAGAAAATCCACCATCTCCAGGATCATATGCTGACTGTGCTAAAACCTCTTGGGCTAAAGAAGGGCCAAGATGCTTTTGGAAAGATGTGGAAGTTTCTGGAGATGCTTGGACAGATGATGATGTTTCTCTACCACCTTGGGTAGAGAGTGATGTTCCTAAGGGAAGTTTCCAAATGCCTTTGGGAAGTAAGGAAAGGACTCACTCTTGCCTGGGCAGATATGGAAAGTCCCAGAATCCCTTCATCAGATACCACATGCCCTGGGGTAGCTGCAGACATTTTACATGCACCCGGTGAAGATGAATATCTTGGAGTCTCACAGGGAGATGTCAAAGGTTTGACAGAACCTCGTGCATTTAGAGAAATTTTTGGAGACCCTTGGACAAATTTCATTGCTCCTGTCATCTTTTGGGCATGGTGGGTATCTCTCTGAGACACTGGGATGGATGGAGAATGTGCTAGTGGGCTCTGTGCTGAAGTGGACTGTGAGCCTGTACCTTGTTTAAGTGAAGAAGAGTTTGAAATCCCTTGGGAAGATAAACGATAGCCTGGAGTCCTTTGTGTAGCTGTGGGCTGTCTTATATACCCTTGTGTAGATAGGCAGGAACCCACAGCTCCTTGAGAACAATGAGAAATTGTTTGACTACCTTGTTCCAAATAGGATGGTCCCATATGATCGGGAGCACAAGCTAGACATACTGAAGTTCCTACCAGAGGTGGAGAAATCTCCATTTTCTCTCCTACATGGGACAGTTTCTCCTGACACTGCATAGATTGGAGTGTTCCTAGGATGCTTGCAGACGATGACAAAGACTCTAGAGTTTCTTTGGAAGATGCCAAAGGCCTCAGAGAACATTTGGCAGATACAGTAAGTTGTGGAAGGCAACGAGGAGATAGAACAGGTGCTGGATCACCTGGGACATGTGGTGAATGTCCTCTAGGGACTTTGTTCAATGGTGAAGTCGCTCTATGAACTGGGACAGATGGAGAATTTCTCACAGGCTCTCTCACATATGACAAATGACCAAGATTCCTTTGGGCAGGTTGAGATGATTCCAGATTGCCAGGCAAAGAATCCAAAGGATCACGATCTCCTACGGAAGATGAAAAAGGACACAGAGTTCCCTGTGCAGACAGGGAAAGTTTCAGAGGCCCACCAACATATGGCAAAGGTTCAGGATACCCTGAGGTTGCAGAACCTGGGAACATTTTCTGAGAAACTGAGGCAGATGGTCCATGTATTCCAGTACCTGGAGGAGATAACAAAGGTGCTGGAGTGCTCTGTTCAGATTGGGAAGGATTCAGAAATCCTGGGACAGATGCTGGATGTTGTAGAGAATTTAGGGCAGACTGAGAAGTTCTTTTAGGGATTTGAGAAGAAGTAGGATGTTTCCTAGATCCTCGATCAGACAGCAGTGTCGCTGGAGTCACTTGTGGAGACACAGATAGTCCTGGAGGTACTTTGGGAATTGGAGAATCATGCACAAGCCGTTCAGCAGCCTGGAATTTTTTAGACTGCCTTCTACAGATAAGGAGATTCCCAGAGACCTTTGATCAGATGGCAAAGATCCTGGTATCACCTGGCTATTTTGGGGAAATCCCAGAGTTCCATCAGTTGATGGCATAATTCCTGCAGTTTGTTGTGCAGATGTGGATAGTCCCAGTGTGCCTTCAGCAGACAAGTAATGCCCCCCTGTGTGTTGGGGAGATGAGGAGATCCCTAGAGTACCTTGTGTAGATTTGAGCATTGTCAGAGTCCCTTGTGCTGATTGGCAAAGTCTGACAACCCCTTCATCAGAATGAGAAGATGATGGAGTCACTTGTGGTGAAGCAAAGTGACCCATATGCCCTACAGTAGATGGAGAAGTTCCTGACGTTGCTCCAGTAGATGGGGAGTTTGTGTTTGGTTCTGGAACTTCTGCAGAAGGTGCTGAAGACTGTAGAGACCCTTCAGTAGATAGTGATGTATGCAGCACTGCCTGGGCTGATATGGAAAGTTTCAGAGGTTCTAGGGCAGATTTAAAAGGAGCTACATACCCTTGGTTAGATGAAAAAGATCCTGCAGCTCCTTGGGTAGAAGTAGAATGTCTTCCAGGCACTAGGGGCACTGGCAATGGTCCCACAGTCCCCGGATCAGATTGAGAAGAATCCACACCATCTACTACATGAGGCAAAGGGCCCAACGTACTCTGGGAGTATTGGTATGATTCCCCAACCCCTGAATTTACTGAAGGGTCTGGGGTCCATTGAACGGATGACAAAGAACTATGCACAGGCAATGTCCCATCTGCCACTGTGGGGAGTTCCTTAGACCCTTTAGAAGACATCAATGGTCCTAGAGTCCTTGGAGCAGCAAGAGGTTGTTCCTGAGC